CACTGTAGTGGGCGGGGCCCGACCTGAGGGGCGGGGCTTGCGCCAAAATCTCTGCGGAGAATATCGATTTTCGCGCAGAAGGCTCGAAGGAGGTTGGGAATCACAGTATTGATTGGGCGGTGTAGTAAATTCCATCAGGTCACGAGCTATCGATCGATATCGATTGAAAATATCGGTTTTTGCGCAGAAAGCTCAGAAAGGTGGGAAATCACAATATCGGGTAGGTAATGCAGTAACAGAAGCTACCTCAAAGTGCGCGCGAGGGCGCGCGAAGCTAAACTGGTAAAAAGAGAAAGCATCATGCACGGCAACAGTAAGCATAGAGTAGTTTGAGAGAACCGCCCGGGAGTGGAAATTTTGGATTTTCTTGAACTATTTTCCAATGTCAGCCGTGATGTAGTCGCCAGTTCACAATCACAAAATCTTAGTAAAATGAAACTTCGAAGTAAAACCAACATAGGTGAACTTGGTGCGTAGTTGGCAACAGCTTCATCCGACATCACACTGTCGCACTTCCGGTAGAACTCCGTTTCAATCAAGTTATCATCTGAGGCGAAAAAATGATAACGACAACTCATAAAATGATATTAGGAGATAAAATTTCATCAAACCAAAGTCGGCACAAATGCTATTATATTTCTCACTTTCCTTATGCGAACGGCATGACACATCTTTAAAGCAACAGTCCCAGCAGGGTTTTTACCTTCAACACTAATGGTGTGGAACCATGCAGTAGCTCTAGTAAAAAACATAAGAAGTGTGACCGAACGAAAACTCTTCTTGGAAAGCCGTTTGAAAAGAGCTGATGGCTTCAAAGTGGCGTGCTTAGTCGGGTGCACTTGCACACTGCAATCCCCTCAACCACGCCAATTCAAGCCATTTCAGCTCTTTCAGCGATTTTAGGCGAGTTTTTATTTCAATCCACTTTCTTATGTCTCTGACGAGTGCGAGCGATTGGTGTTCGAAGGTTAAAAACCCTGCTGATTGAGCTTTAGTAACGTGGGCGTCGCCCGCATCTCATCATCATGTCGCGCATGACACTCCCACAGAAGCTAGACAAAGCGACACCCTTTTCACATTATATGAACGCGACAAACGCATCTATCGGTCGCCACTTGAAGTGAACGCCTTGAAGCAGTTGTTGCCCTACCAGACTGCACCGCAAGATAAGGGCGATGTCGCATGGTGACCTCTTCCGGAATACCTGTTTACACTGTAGAACCAACGAACAACATCTCACTTTCATAAGTATCATCAATCGATTAGAGGGTCATCAACATGATGAAGAGTTAGCGCTATTAATGGGCTGATAATTTAGAAATGTCGTTTTTATTTGCATAATTTCTGTGTTGTAATAAAAGGTTTCACGCACTCCTTAGCAGAGAAAACGTTCGAAAATACTGATGCTGTCGAAATTTGGGTGCTCAATTTCTTCGAGCAAGTTTATTCGAAAGAATATCCACTTGTTGCATAGTGGCTGAGTAGAAGACAAGCGCTCAAAGGTGAGAGTTTAACTGTAAGTGACAGCCACTTAAAAAATCATAGAAGGTGTAGAGATGGAGAGATGAAAGAAAATAAAGCAAAGCAAAAACAATCTAGAATACTCGGAGTTGAACGCCCCTTCTAACCATGACCTGTGGTTGAGGCGTGTCTTCAGTATGAAACTCATCAATGCTGACGCTCTTCGCTGACAGGATTGTGGCTAGGCAGACGGGCGAGGCGTGTGGGCGAGCAGATGGCTATATTGTGTCCTGGGTCTACGGACAACTTGAACTCAGTCCTTTTAAACTGCCTCGATTTGATGCTCTCGCCTGCGCTCTCTCGCTTAAACAGCGGCTTATGATTACTGTGATCTGACACATTCAAACTTTGCCACATGTAATTGGCTCACCCACTCCGGAGTCCCTCCTCCCTTCAAGGCTTAGTCCTAGGCTCTCACCCCTTTCTTGGGATTTGGAGCCGAGCCAGGCGCCGTTCTCTAATCGTCTGTGCTCTGGCCTTTCGCGGCAGAGAACATAGGGGAAAGTTCAAGTAGTCACGTAATCGTCCTGTTGGGCCGCCGGAGCGTAACCCTCGCTGGAAACCCGCATCTTTGGCACCCATAAAGGCCCGCCTGCCTTTCCACTACGTGTATCTTCCCTTCTTCGACCTCCGACTTTGTCGTGGAATCCTCCTTTAGGGAACACTTTCATATACGTTGACTTCCGTACCCCATTTACGACTCACCCGCGTACGGTAAACGAAGTGTACTCACCAGTGCTATACGGTAAAAGCCTATTTCGTTTTCGTCGTTTCATCTCCTCCATTCGAATACGTTCGGCTTGAAGTCTAAACGGATAGTGGAAATCAAATAAAGCAGCAAATTATATGCCCAGAAAGTCAAGCACTAATCAATAAGGTTTAGGCTACTGAAGCTCATTGGAAGCGCTCATTTTTGCATCAAAATTGATGATAAACTAACTCAGTTGGATTCATGTGACAAATGTGGTCCAGTGAAGCCGGATCGCAGAGAAATTTGTCATTACGGACCTGAGCAAAACAGTGGCGACTCGTTTTAACAACTTTTCCCAAACGTTTCGTAAAATTCGATAAAAGGTATCTCACCATTATAGGCACGTATTTCCGTCTCGACTTGCACTTTGAGCAGGCATAAATATCAGCTTTGCGGGAATTTTTTCGATGAAGCTGGAAACGAAACGAGCGTCCCGTATAAGGATCATCGTAATACAATGACTGCCTCTTCTCCAAGGCTAAAAATATGAAATTCAAAAAATCATTCAACCGCTTGTAGCACAGCATACAGCAACGTCCACAAAATGCACAGTGCACCGGTACGGTTCGCATCGCCTGCGCCCTGATTCAGGGTCAACCGTTCATTCAAACTATTCGAACGGGAGGTCGTATTTGTGATTTTAGTAGGGTTGTAGTCGAGGAAGAATAAGCTTAACTATTATATCCTTTGAAAGAGTGCCAACGAGGATCGTATTTTCGGATCCGTGGAAAGTAAAGGAGCTGGTCTGATATGTTTCTGGCGTGAATTTTGGGAAAAAGTGGCAACGCTACGGTTGACACCCTGCTTTGTGATGTTCCGAGATAAACTAGTTGTTACCGACCTGAGCAGACCAAAAAAATTGCAGCGAGAATAAGCTCGCCTGTCGATATGGAACCTATTTATTTTGAGCCCTTTCTCGCACTATTTAAGGAACGTGCGTTCTGCAACTCATTATTACATTTTGAGCCTCCGCGAAAAAAGGGGTGAAAAAGAGTGCATACGGTAATTTTGTGGCATTCCACGTGATCAGCAAGCTCTCTACCACTTAAAGGAATCCTTCCCGGAAAAATCTTGATTCTATCTCACCCAGAAATCACTGGCAGGGACTCATTGTTCACGATAAGAACGAAAAGAACAAAAGAATGAAGAATATGTTCTTTTCTTAAGTTTGTCCTGAAGCCACAAGCCAACGATACAGTAGCTTTATTCGGCTAACGTTTCGGCCTTTTCGCCTTCGTCAGCGGTGGTCTCAGCAAAATCCTTCCGTACATTCTAAGGCTCTGACGAAGGCGAAAAGCCGAAACGTTAGCCGAATAAAGCTACTGTATCATCTTGGCTTGTGGCTTCAGAAGCAAACTTAAGAAGATACCACACACGATGCCAAGATTCATCGATCGTCGATCCTTTATGCTATGTTCTTTTCTTTCAGGGATCTCTTGATTCTTATCTTCTTTTGAATTGTGCTGATTACGTTCTTTCAGCATTTAATGTTCGCTTTGTTTTGTTTCTCTTTTAGCA